TTTGATCGAACATCACTCACCAGCAGTCACATGTATTCTGCCTAGACGAGATGTACTCCGAATCTGGAATGTCATCTGTTGTTATTCACGTGACGAAAGTGCGTACGACAAATGTGAGTCTGTCATATTTGGCATCCTCCTCATCTGCCCATTTCTGTCTGGTTCCTTGGGAAGCATATGACAAAAATTCAAGATATGCTCAGTAAAAGAATCGTTCAGCTGTAACACCCTTTCGTTGTCAAGCTGTCATGCCACCCGAAGGAAGCACGAGGGCTGGGATACTGCCAGGTTGCCCAAGCCTAGACAGGAGAAGTCGGGTTCGAACCACGGACCTTCCGGTCAGTAAATTCGCGCTCTAACCACTTGAGCCATCTCGCCCCAGAGATATGCTCATTACCACTGACCAGACCGATTATATGAATCACCATGGATTTTCACTGGGGACTAGTAAGGAGGTGTAGTTAGGCGGACAAAATTTCTGTTAGAAAAACTGGTTGACGTAATGAGATCGGTCCAGTTCAACGAAGAGCGAGCGCACGACTGGGATGGGAAAAAGCCAGCTGGCACAAGTTTGTCCGGGTCATAATGTAGCTACTCAGGATACTAGTTTATTTTCAGAATGAAGCTCTCATCCATGTTGAATGAACTCTCTGCGCACTCTAGATTATCCGATGACTGAGCTTGTCCTGAAAAAATTGCGCGCGCTTACTTCCAATATGACTTAGGTTAGTATTATCATTTCCGGTAATTTGATCAAACTAGTCAAGCCATTTTGTTTGCTTAGTGTTGTAGAAAATAAAATCCTACAGAGAAGCGGACAGGATACACCAAAAAAAGGATCTCCCAAGGTCGGCCCATCTTACGTGAGTAGTATGATACGCTGTTTTAGTTTGTACCAACGGGACTGTGCTGTTGTCCTTTAATTCTGATGAACATTCAAGTAGTCGAGGTACGTTGTTAATGATAGCTACGAGAGTGACGTACGGGTCAGAAAAGTGGAGCAGTTCAGTGAACTGATCAGTAGTCAACAACCTGAGAGGGGACAAAACCAAGTATCAACAGAACAGTAATAACAGGAAGCCAGAAGCTATGCTTTCTGTTTGTCCTGCAGGCATTTCATCTTCACTATGGCGGATTGCTTCACAGTTGGTTGAGTAACGTTCGGTGGCGAGCGCAGTCAACTTTGAGTGGCCAGACAAGATTCTACCTAAACCTGAAAGGACTAGAACCGATTAGTATGTACAGTTCGGCTTCTTCACTCACATAGCTGAGTAAACTTACAGACGGGATGTGCCAATTCGAGTGAAAACCAGAGAGTTTGCCAACAATATTGTCCTGCACCAGACGGCCAAGTCGATCTGCATATTTAGTACTGTTTATCAGTGTCATTGTCATCAAGACATGCAGAATTAACTCAAATAGATGAGCCCGTCGGCTGATTGTGGTTGAATAACCTACTAACGTAACGGCTGCATAGAGCGTTTTACTACAGACTTACATACTACTGCCGGGAAACAACAGTAGTACGTTGACCCTCTTGGCTGGGCAGCAGACAACACTGTTCTCCATGTTATATGAATTCAGAACATTGAACAGTTGGGTTATTTGACTGTACCCACCTTTTCGTCTAATTCGGATGTTTTTTACCCGCGTTATAATCATCTGAGCTGCAAGTTTCCCTCGGCGATGACCACCTAATCAGTATGGGAGCTGACGGAAAGCTGGCGATTTTCAGACTGAGGTGATCCGCACTTCTACTGGAATAGTTATGCAACGGAGCCAAGGCTTCGTTCTGTCCCCAGCCATTTTCGTATCCTGTTTCGAAACGAAGGGTATCATTTATACAAGGTGAGCTGTTAAAACGTGGATGCCTGCCGCCTAACAGTGAGAGTCGGTCAGCTGCAGATAAGGTTCCATGAATTGACTGGATGTTACGTACTTGTGTGGTAGATGAGAAATCCCGCGAGTTAAATGAAGTTGGTCCGAACGATTAAGGGCACAAGTTGACCTCTGAACAACACATCATTCATAATGCTGCCGGCCATGAACGGGTGAAAGTTGATAGGTGAGAGGGGATATTTCTACAGCTTTCTACCATGCCCCTAGGCCTCAGTCCGCTTAATTCTTAGCTTCCCATCTCGCTCTCGCTTCACGAGTAACCTTGACTACTGTTCATAATCTCAAACGTTTTGGATCGTTTCCAGTCAGCATGCGGAAGGAGCACATACCAGGGACGTGGCCACATCACCCGCCTGCTGGTCCCACCGAACCTCATAAACCGATTGAAGACAAGGGGCTGTCATCAATCGCCTGGTGACAAATCCAGAAGGCAGCCCATAACCTAGAGTGGGACGCCGTACACAAACCTTCTAAAGTCAACTCACGTTCGCCATCCTGGTGTCGAGGGTTGACAACGGCCGCCAAAGAGACTGAGATATTCAAAATTAGTACACCTTTGGTATCCTGAAGGGTAAACTTGTTAGATTTTAAGCTAGTTTTAGCTTGCATTGAAGTGCGATACGCATATCGTCAACTTCGACCCACTTTACGCAGCCCCGACTACTTCCTCAGCAAACGGGACGAATGAGGCAGTTATATCACTACATTTTACGGTTTCTGGAGTGCGTTCAAACTCCTAGTCGGTTTTGTGCACCATAGTGCAGTGATACTCCAGCGAGGAGTTCGTGGTCGAAACAAGAAACCACACTTGCCAATGGACGGACATGAGTCATGCCACTGTCTCACATAGATATCTCCCGGATTGCATTCTGTTGCCGAACGTCGACGTTGTACCAAGGATCCGAGGATGGTTGCAACGTGAAAAGAGAAGCAATCGCTATAGATCAATGGCAGAATGGGGGTACTTTGGTTTTGAACTGCAAATCAGATAACAGTCAGCCTGTTGGGTTACTCCTCGAATTACCACTAGCTCCCAATTAGTTGACTCATCTTTCTACGTCCCCTCCAGGTTTGTAAACTCAAATGTTGACTCATCAGTTTCCACATTCCGATGGACGGTGGACATTCAATGTGACCGCCGCCTCTAGTCACTATCTAGGCCGTTTTGACATTTCTCACGGCGAAATCACGTGAGTGCACAAAATAAGGAACCAAGGTCAACAATTCTCCAAAACGAGGTTGAAAGTAACGTAAGAAATGTAACACAGTGGGGGTCGATTAACAATATGTACAACCATTTGGCATCAACCATAAGTACCAAGTGGACAGTATTATCTGGCCCTCTCATTAAGTCTGAACGTGGAAACAAGCTGACTGGAAGCAAAGTAAGTTGACGCACTACTCATAGGGTTGCTGGTTGCCGTCGACAGCCCACGACCGGTTTCGCCCTTCTTGGGGCTCATCAGCAGTTCCCGAGTTTTCGTCAACCTACTGTTCTACTTGAAACCGAAATTAGCGAAATACACTCAATTGCAAACTAATTTAGTTTTGCGAGAGACTCACCTGGAACCCAGCTGAATTTCTCGTTTGTGATGTTTCCAGTTGACATTTTTATTGAGCTTGGGATAACCCCAATCGATGGGAAGCACAAAGTGAATATGGGCTTCCGAATCGCCAACGAACCAGCTCCGAAGCACCCAAGCAATGACTTACAAATCCCATCTCCTTATTCCTTTTCTAGTGGATTTGTTCCTATGCTATTCACGATGACCGGCTCCGCAGCTGACTAAGCTTTTGCCCAGTAAAGATGAAAGACAAAAACACCGCGATCCTACCGGTAGAATGAACCATAGATACGAATTCAGGAAGAGGATGGGACATACTGCGTTGTTTCTACGTTGCGTCTGAACGAGTAGAAAGAAATGAAGAAAAAAAACAGTACCACTCATTAAAGAGAGAGAAGGAGGCGGGTAACTGATGCGAGCAGTTTCATGATAAACAATAAGATGGAAAGGCTTGAGTATGAATACCAGTGAACCGTAGGCGCATGAAATGGAATGCGAAAACAAGTAACTCAGGTTGGTCACAGGTCTTATCCGGCATCACCTACAATTGAGTGGTATTCACAGGAAAAAAGAACACGTGGAGAATCATTAGGAGAGATTTGTTTGAATAATGACAAGGATGTGGCTGTACAGGAGGCGGGGGAAGATGGAAGAAACACATTAGGTGGGAAATCTGACGAAAAAATAATGGTCCTGATTGCTGGTATTCCAGTGCCGTGGTCACAAGCAATAAATTAATGATAATGACATGCGTGCACGCACTTTCAACGGGACTGAAGTAACTTAATTGAATGACCTGCATTCTCAATGAGCACAGTGGTGCCGTTAGCCCCATTCGATCGATCGTCGATATTCGCCTTGGTGAGAGTAAACGACCGACTCATTCGTTTGCCTTCATTTTGTGTAAGGGTTTGATATGCTCGCGGGAGTCTTGGTGTGGTCAAAACTCGGTAGGATTCAGCGAAGTCCTCCAAATTGTCCGTCTAAGGAGGAAACGATAGGGTGTGGATATGGGATGAAAACGAAAGATTTACGAAAAATCAACAGCGTATGAATTTTCGGAATGCAGTGTGGAAATGGGCGAGCTGGCCGACAAACCCCAAGCTCATTGTGCGAGATGGCTCAAGTGGTTAGAGCGCGAATTTACTGACCGAAAGGTCTGTGGTTCGAACCCGACCTTTGCCATTCGACTTCCCCTGTCTAGGCTTGGGCAACCTGGCAGTATCCCAGCCCTCGTGCAACCTTCGGGTGGCATGGCAGTTAGGCACCGGAAGGGTGTTACAGCTGAGCGTCTTTCTCATTGTGAGCAGCCTACCTCGCAAGGGTTAATCCTCTACAAGTATCACACTGTCCTGTAAAACGACAGATCGATTACAGGTGTTTTCAGAGAACGAACACCTTCCAGCAGAAGACTGGCCTCAAGAGCAGTGAGCTACAGAAGGCTCACCACAGTTACCACGTGAGCGAGGTCAATATCAAGTCCCCTAAAGGACAGTTTGAATTTAGCTTCATTTGTGAACGCCACTTGAAACCACGTCAGTTCTACATTCAGCTAAATACTCTCATTATTAGTCTCCCAGCTGTCTCAGTTCTCACGACTACTCTTCACCAAGTTCGCAGTCGTCTCTTGTTAGACTTCAGCCAGAAAAGTAGAATGATTGTGAACTTGAAAGAAAACTGCAGATCGAGTTGGTTGCCCTGACAGAGTGAACAACTTACCACTCACTATTCCCTAGAGTGTCACAACGGTTTGGCAACCAAGCTGGAGAGATTATTTAATGTCCGGTAGTCTTATTGCCCCTTTTACGATAACCCTTCAGGCCTAAATACAGGCCTGAAGGAACTGTAAAAGCCCTGCTTCTGAGTGGTCCACCAGCGGCCCGTATTGGCAAAAGATTCACACCCAAGCAAGGCCAAAAAAGCACTTTCTTGTTTATGTGAAAAATGCAAATCCAGTGTGACATCAACCCAAGCACACTAATTCAAGAATGTTTGAAAGAGCGGACTTCCGGGAGATGTGGTATTATGCGGACCAAAATCGACCTCCCATGTGAGTCTGAATCAGGTACTCACCGTTCCAAGGGTGTTTGCCAGAGAGGAAACGAAATAGACGCTTCTGGAGTAGATTAAAGTGAGTAGAACGACGTAGAATGGATGCAGGGATTTGAATCTATGGATGATAAACTTGAAGCACAAACGAAGTGTTTGGAATGATAACACACTGTATGCATTCGCGCAAACACCTGTGACTGAGCAAGATCCGATTACGGAAGAGGTCTGTCTGTTTCGGGGGCGCAGTTGTGGCCCCCCCTCCCCCGAAAAATGAAAACTTACAAAAATCTTAAAAAACCCTTCAGCTGTAGCACCCTATTCGGTAGTTAGCTGCCACACCACCAAAAGGAAGCACGAGGGCTGAGATATTGTCAGATTGCCCAGACCTAGACAGGAGAGGTCGAGGTGCATAGATCGGGTTCGAACCATGAGCCTTTTGGTCACTAAATTCGCGTTCTAACCAATGAACTATCTTACAACCCTGATCCCAGTAGCGAAAGCATTAAACACTGTATCTCAGACCGAAGATGACCCCGTTGATTGTCGACTTTTGAGCCTCAACAGCAAAATTTAACTCTGCTCCTTGATAATCGGCTCCCGGCCATGCCTCCTATCAGATTTGACCCCTAACATTTATCAGACGATGATCATCGTCCGCCTAGTCTGCGACTTAATGCTAATGAGGTCTTGCCCGATAAGTGAAGCCGCTTTATAAGGAAAAATCAATAAGACTGTGCGGATCGTTGGTTCATTGATTAGAGCGCGAATTTACTGACCAGAAGGTCTGTGGTTCGAACCCAACCCCGGCATCTCGACTGTTTCGATTAGGCTCGGGCAGCCTAGTAGTACCTGAGCCCTCCTACTTCCTTCGGATGGCATGACAGCTAGACATCGAAAGGGTATCACAGCTCAACGATGAACGAGTGGCAATAAGCTGAACGTGTGGTTCACGGACGATGAAAGTGAACGATGACCTGGGTGAAAAGAATCCATTAGAATTCATTTTCGTCCAGATTAACTAGTAAGCTTGTCGTAAGGATGTCAAGCAAGCTACGTGACTAGAAGCTGGAACGAGCACAAGTGTGCACCCTGTCCTTACGTGCACAGTGGTGTAGTGTAGATGAAAAACTCGGTGCAGGAGTGAAAAACCATTGAGATCGAAGCAATATACGGGACCTACCCGAAGGCTTCCATGCCCATTCGAGAGGCTTCGTCGTCTTTCCGACCGTGAGAACCATGGATCGTCATCTATCTCGGCTCTGGGGGCCAGCGCGACGACGTACGTACCGGATGAGCTCATAGACACCGGAGTTCGACCAACTGACGGAGAACGTATGTTCAGGACCCGTTCAACGGTGGAAACGGGGTGCACTGTCGACAGGGAAGTCAATTCGGTCAGCATGGTAGCAAAACTAGGCCTCTCTTCCGGATCAATATTCCACGTTTGACGCATCAGACGATAGATCTCCGGAGGACAGCCTTCTGGGGCTTTCATGCGATAGCCAGCTTTCAGTTGGGGGAGAACTTGCGATGCAAGCTAGGTGGGAAAATGGTACAACAAAGAGAAACAAGTTTATTGTCGTGTGAAAAAGGTACACAGGTTTATGGTCGTCCGCCTGTAATACCTGGACATTACTGAATAAGCTCACTCTGTGTAACTGATGCTAGACATAAAACAGCAGTAAAAAACGACTTGGTTGAGACGCGGAAACGAGACGCTCCGAATAGTGACAATTGTGTTGCTCAAACACGTGTACAACGATTCTATACAATTCCACAGGAATAACTGTCATTCATCCAGTAGAGTGTGTATTCAATCATTGTGTGACAACTTTGTATGAGAATGGGATACAGAAATCTACGATCTAAGATGTGTGTGTGAGAGAAATTGAATTGTGGTGTTCACATACACACCACAGATTGGCACTGCAAGGCACGCAGGTTCCGTGACATTCCGTGAACACAAGAGGCTGACACTTTCGACAGCACAAAGACGGAGGAAAGAAAGCTCATCCGAACAACTCAACCGCTTCGAATCGATAAAGATTTGCATAATCGATCATTCACCATGTGTGCCCCCACAAACACTATTCCGAAGAGGCACTTGACACGAGCACGGGAAGCCATTGCGTTTTCCATTCGAATACGACTGGAGAGGGAGGTGACCGGAACAAAAACCAAACCACCGCAAGCAATGTCTTATAGCAATCCACCGAACAGTTTGTCTACGAGGAGCGGAAAGTTCAAATTGTTGGCAACAGAATATCCTTGTGAGCAACTAGACGACCAAACCAGTCGGACTGCGCTGTGTTTGTGGACTACGAAACCAGAGCCTCCGCAGTTTGAGTTCAAATTCGAATTCACGACTGCTCATGTCTGGGCCTGAATAGGTGGACAGCCTGACAACCCTCATGCCTACTGAGGATGTTGTGCGGAGGTTGGGTGTAGAATCGACCCACCGGATAAGCAAGTCGAAGTGAATTCGTAACTGTACAGGACTTGAAACGAGGAACAGAAGGCAATACTAGTGTAACGGTGATACTACTGATGAGAGTGGCATGCGAGTAGTATGGTTTCTCGTAAATCCGCTTTGCGTCTCTTGAAAAGTGAGATCTATTACGGAATTTATGGAGTGGCATTTGATTGCACTTGAGCAACAGTCAATGAACATTCAGGAAATTTCAGGAAGACGCGTTTAAAGGGAAGATGGATATACCTTATAAACAAGATGCATATGAGAGTTTTGCTTCCCTGTCCAATAGTCTGTAACTAATCAGTTGGTATTTTCTAATGAATAACTCCGCAGCGAAGACCTTCTTCCTTTAACTGGGAAGACCGAAACAACGGATGAGTCTAACTGAATTCAGTAGATACCTCTATGAGAACCAATTAGAACAGTGCACGGAGTATCACAGCGTAGCACAGGTTTCAAACGACCGAATGGGAAGGTTCCATAGATTAAATGAGTAGCCAATCAGAAAGCCCCGCAAAGCTCCGCATCGCAAATCACAAAGAATTGCAAACAATTCAAACAAAACGAAGAACGAAGGCTGATGAAAACGAGGCTATCCAACGAACCAATCAAAGGCAATCAAAGTCATACCATCTTATCAGGCACACAGTACGTAACGAGAGAATCGGACCCCTGGCGGTCAGTCCTGTTCTAGACGGAAGCAAGTAAAGAGTAAACGCGTGCACAACACAAAAGCAACACACTCGAATGGAGACGATAACCTACTTTTACGATGTACGGTTAGGACAAATCCCAGGAGATTCGAACTAATCCAAATACAAATACTAATACAAAAGGCAAGAGAAACCTACATCTGTCCGAAAATGTGACAAGTGGTCTCGAGATTACTTCGTGGATATACCAAATCCTCAGATACTAAGGATACGTTAGTCAGAGTAATTCCACTTCGAACAAGATACGTATGTTATGACTAGGCCCAGTGACGGCTAATTTGAACAAAAGGACGGTGTGTGCTACGCTGTACACACAGAAAAAATGTGCACGAAAAAAATACACAGGTGGCCTGCCGATGCGAGGGCCATTCACCAACCAAACAAGGATTTTTTCGCACCAACAAACTACGCCACGTGTGTTTGAGGACTTTGACAACACAAAGTCCACGTCACTGACACTATGGCACCTATCCAGTTCGCGAGTGAGTTCGTTCTGCCGTCAGAGTTTGGTGTTTACAGCGTCAGCTGCAAGGCCGATCCGCAGTTGCTGATATCCATCTGACTGGCCAGAACAGTCGCTAAGGCAACCAGCGATAGAAAACAGCTGGTGCCACTGTACCACACGTCGATAGTCTGTTAGTGTGTCTAATCCTGTGCTTTGTCATTTGACACGGGAGTCGGTTTGGCTTGAACCGCGTTTCGGGCTCCAACAATGAATCACAGGACGGCAGGTCATCGAAATCGCTTGAAATAAACATTCACCTTGGGTGTGCATTTCATATGTGGAGACCATTCAGCCTGTTTTACACTGTGTACAGTCCTCGAGATGGCTCAGTGTTTGGAGCGCGACAAGGAGGTCCGTGGTTCGAACCCAACCTCTGCATCTCGACTGCTCCCACCTAAATTTCGGCAACCTGGCGCTACCCTTGGGTGGCATGGCAGCTAGGCACCGAAATGGTGTTACAGCTGAACGATTATTATTGTTGTTTATAGCAGCGTAAATTCACAATGCTATAACAGAATTGGTTAAGAACTGTCGGCTCTGGTCGAACTTTTACTGTTTACAAGGACAAAGGAACTCAGACTGCACGACAGTCATTACTCAACTGACAGCCGAATGGTACAACATGCACATGTAGATCAATAATAGGAAACAGTACGAGGATGATCGAAACACATAAGCGCTCCTAACGGTCGGGCATAAAATGGGCATGAGAGTAAGTTGCGGCAATTTGCATCCCCCTCCCCCGGAACATAACGCGTCTGCACAGCGCTCGACATACAATCAGGATTCTATACATCATCATCATCATCATTGTCAGCTGTAATAACCGCGTACTCGTCGTACAGTGGTTGTAGCTGCCGCAGTTTCGTTCACCGATGATTTGGGGAGGGGGTAGATAGCTGCGTATTGCAGGCGGGAGTTGGTAAATTAGTGCACAAATCCAGCACTGTCAGTGGGCTGTTAAGTGGGGGGTTGGAAAAGGAGTTATGTATTGAAGGCAATGGCTTGGATGCACGAGCGCCATTGAGGGCGCGACTGGGCCATGTCTGACAATGTCTCTAGCCATTGATGTGGCCCGTCTCGAGGTCCCCATCCAGGAAGACGGCAGTGATCAGCGCAGCTGAATTTGCTGGTAATGGCTTCCATACTTTGTTGCCAAGTCATTGTTTGACCGCCTCTGGCTCTCTTCCACCCTTCACGTGGTTGTGCGAAAAGAGCCCTTCGAGGAAGCCGGTCGACCGGCATGCGCAGCACGTGGCCAAGCCAGCGCAGGATTCTATACTATGTTAATGTAAGACATTGTGGATTATCCCGACGGGGCTTGACGACCATGTATAAATTCAGAGCACTGTTCTATCCCTATTTGGTTGAGTCAAGGAGAGGCATCTTAATTCACGGTCCCCGTAAGTTTATGCTCCACACCAATGTACACCAATGCACTTCGGAGCGAAACATCAGACCAATTTTGTCTTCACATCACCGGCTACATTTTTAGCCCGTTAAAACTGAACGATACAGTTTAGTCGACAGCAAAAACTGCCCCAAACAACGTCAACACTCCGAAAAAAGCTGTCTTAGACTGATCCATCCAGAGGTCGCTGTGAAGCACTTCTTATAGAAACTAACGTCTGTTCCTCTCTAACTCATTTTGGCGGGCTAACGCAAGCTTGAATTGTTATTAGCATCGTCCATGAGGTCCCCACGTTTGGTTGTTTCGCTGCCTATCTGATTCCATTCACTTCACAGGCGAAGGTAGGCCGTAAGCATGAGGTGAATGAATAGAGCACATTGCCAAACTGAACTCAAGTGAGACGTGTGGTGGGTGGTGACATGAAAGGCTGTCGCGAAGTGTTGAGAATGCGAGCAGTTTGTGCCAAATCACCTGCGCTGGTGTTGTATGCTGAGTCCTCCGAGGAAGGCTCTATCCAGAAAGAACAATGAAGCAGAAAGTAGTACCAGAGGAAAGTCACTCTTCCCGTTCTCCCAAAAATTAAACTGGTCATGGATGGAATACCATACTGAGTGATTATGAAACTGGCGATTCATTGGGGCTCACAAACGTAAGATAAACCAAAGGGAAAAAGCCGTGTGAAAAAACCGTAACAACTAGTAAGAGTGATCGATCCATTTCAGCCACCGGATTTGTATCCCACACATTGTCAGCAATAACGAGAACTGAATTAGTCAAAATTCGCTCTAAATAGATCACTCAATCAAGCTAATGCTAGGGTTCATTGGATTTGATCGTTGAACTTGAGAAATTCCCAAACGTCAGTTAAGCAAAGTGCAGTGAAGCACGGGGTGCACTGCCAACAGCAGAGGTGACCATGAACTGCCTCACAGACTGCAAATTGGCGGGCAAGAGAGAACTACACTGTAACCGACTCACCATTCGAGGATAAGGAATACGACCGTAAGAGTAGATTTCCCACAACAGAATGCCAAAGCTCCACACGTCTGATTTGATTGTGAATTGCTGAATGAGAAGGGATGGAGATTAATCAATAAGGAGATAAAATAGCAGACACATTAACGTGTAATGGGCGCCTGGGATTAAAAGAATAAACGGGCAACCTGACTATGAGGCTCTATCAAGAGTGACATGAATACCTGGGATTAGGAGAACTTCAGAAAAAGTGCTGTTCCGTAATTGTCCTCGCCTTGGGGGTCGAGACAAAACACTCCCACAAGTTGGGCGGTCGGGTACTTTCACTACCTGCTGCTCCAGTTCGCCTCATGAGAGCAGTAGTATCGGATTCGACTTCCATGTGTGTACACCGGGTGAGTGGTTTGATCAACCCTCCATCCGTGAATGTTTTTACGTATGAAGTGGGCGTTTGGGACATCGAGTTCGATCACGGGTGATAGTCATAAAAAAATTCACCCTAAACCACATTCAGCTCAAATCAATGACATATAAAGTGCTCTCAAACTCCCCTGCGACAGCACACCCTCTCTACAGGGAACACCTCCCGGGGATTCCAGAATTCTTCCTCGACACGAGTGTTTCTTCGTATTGCAGCCTGTATTCAGGTGTTTTGAACAACTTTTGTGGGGGTGGGAAGGAACTTTCCATTTTCTGGGTTACAGTGAGTGCACCAGTTGATAAGTACCCTTGCCTATCCAAGATTTGTACATGCGATGAGGCTGGATAGTGGTCGCCAGCTCCATTCATGTAGGTTAATTCCATTAAGTGAAATTTGAGGAGCAAAACCATGGTACTCATTAGGAACTCAGCAAACATTGAGTTGTCGTGTGTTGCTTCATCCAAGTCTATAGCTTCCCTGCCTTCGAATGATATTTTAAAAATGAGGGGTAAAGATGCACAACCCGACTCAGTTTATCAGCCGTGAATCATTTACCAATGGCACGCAGGCTCCAGATGATACGGTTGGATTCACCGAAAGTTTGGTAAACAAGGTAGACATGTGTGATGAGATGGAAAATTAGTTGTAGTTAGAAACTGGGGAGCTACGCGTTGAAGGAGACAGCTTTGGTTCTGAAGCGCCACCGACTAGGTCAAGTCTGCCAGTGTCAGTAACTATCAGGAGGGTCACATTACTGAAAGCAACCACCGAATGCTCGAAATCTACCGACACTCTCAGCTCCGCTAGATGTTGACCAGGCAGACAACGCCCCCTCAATATGCAGCGCTTCACAGCCTTGTATCAAACCCAGACAGCGCGAGTCAGCGTTGGTCAAGGTCAACAACGCCCCCGCAATATGCAGCACGTCGCAGCCTCGTACCAAAGCCAGACCGTGTGCGTCAGCATTGGAACATGTTCAGACAGTGTCCTTCCAATAAATAGCTTGAGAACGTACTTTCGCACTCGCACGCACTCACGCTCTCGCATTCGTTTGTTCGGAATATAGCTGTTGAGTTTTCGTAATGCACTACTCACAAGTTTGCCGAAAATTCGACGTCAGTAACCTTATGAGTAGTGCATTACGAATTTACATATGTCGCAATATCACGAATATCGTAGCGATTGAAACATGAGGCGGCCAAGTGCAGCACATTCAGTGGCCTGGCGACATCCTAAACGAGAGATTCAGCTGGGTTCCAGGTGAGTNCTGGAGCGGGCAGCAGCAGATACCTCAGATTGGCGAATCAGCAGGTATAACAGTAACCATTGATGAATTCGGTATCTCCATCCAAGGAAGCGGTAGACGTCATCCCGACTGAGTATGCTGGTTAGTGCTTCCATACTTTGTTGCATAAACCGTCCATCCCTCGGTTGTTTCCGCTCAGCAAATGGCTGGGGGAAAAGCGCTCTGTGAGATAGACAGTCCTCTGGCATGTGGAGTACATGAATTAACCAGGACTATCTGTGAAGTGTGATTGGTTCATTCATCCCGAGGGGGTTGCTTTTTCCGAAAACCATCTGATGTACCTCAGCCTGCACAATTCCCGTTGAACCCAACTAATCCTTGGGAGATAACGACGGTCAAACACAGAGTTTTCGTACATAGTGGACTGCGCGTATGCAGGAGATGGACCAAGTGGTCAGAGCGCGAATTTACTGACCGGAAAATCCGTGGTTCGAACCCGACCCCTCCCACTCGACTTTCCCTATCTAGGCTTGGGAAACCTGGTAGTATCCCAGCCCTCGTGCCTCCTTCGTGTGGCACGGCAGCTAGGCACCGAAAGGGTGCTACAGTTGGACGATTATTATTATTATCTACCAAGTCCAGTCATGTCCAGCCAAGCAGAGTTCTCTAATATGGAGAGTTTCCCAGACAAGAGAGTACCATATTGCCAAATCCCACATTCTTGTTCAGTTCAACAAAAAGACAGTAATTGTATAGCGGAACTGAACAATTAAACAGGATATAACTATGCGCGGTACTGTTAAAAAGCCAACCGAGTTGTTATGTGGAAGTAGTTTCTTTTGCAACAGATTACTGTCACATTCTAGTCACATCTCGGGAACATCGTCTTTAATTCAGTAGGTAAACAAAGCAACACATACTGTGTGAGTGTGGTGATACGAAACGTGCGATAACCCCTTGTTGAAACCTGGCAGACCACGCATCGCACCAAAACTCAGCGAGAAACGCCAATCTGTAGATCAGAGGGGAAAAACGAGTAACCTAAGCGACAACTGCAGGCGATGGCTGGGTCGGGCCGAAAAAAATCGTACAATTCTCCGAAGTTCCTTCAAGGAACATGTATCCAAGCATGTTCCTCACCTCAACCGCGGGAGCACAGCGAATTCAGTAGCAAATAAGTGGGTGCGGGAATTCGCGGAATCTCATGACACTGTTCTGTTGTTACTCAATAAAAACGAGTGGTTGACGCAAAAGCCCAAGTTCTGGTCAGTATTTCTGTGAGCTCATCCATCAAACACTGAGAGGCACTGAGAGGTTTGCATGACACAAGGGGTTTAAACGATCTGAATTTTGTATTCAGTTGATGCGACTGAGATATGTTGATGGTTTTACGTCATCACCTCTCACTAAAAACAGCATGCAAGCTGGACATGACTTTGTTTAATGACGACGAAGTGGTTGGGATGGAATGATTTGCTCGCTGGACAGGATAGCGTGACGTGCCGGTTGCAGATCTAGAAGGCGATCGGATGAAGGATCGATAATCTGTTATAGCCTGATTTGTCCCACCTCCGACGGGAATTCATTCATTTTCAAGCTTCGCATACAATTTATGGTCTGAACCTCTGTAAATCCCTTCCATCGTGTCCAAGGTTGGCGAGAGGAGGTTCCCGTTGATCGAAATGTAATCCTTCAATTGTTGTCATGAGCTACGTCCTCTGAAAACCCGGTTTTCTGAGCATATACCCATGGTAAACAACTTGGAACCTCGTGACGTTTGGTCGCACTGAGTAGGCACCCGTAAAGAGCAACAAAATGGAGCCGAAAGCGCACTACTTGTTGCAAGCTAACAAAAGCTGCTCGTCTTTGATCCGGTCACCGAGAATGACTCACGCCTGGACTGATCCAGCTAATAGGGAGTTATGGACATCCTGATCAAAACAACAGCAGTCATTGGATCGATAATCCCACAGTTGGACCAAGTGTCTTACAGTTAATCTTCATCTAACTAGCCAAGGGAGAGACTGGCATGCAAGAAGTAGGGTTGGTGAAAACCCGAGGATGATGATGAGCCAAAGGAAGGATGAAACCTGGACTGTTTACGGGTTTTCATCAACCTTATGAGTGTTGCCATCACAGGATTAACAGTTTATTTATTGATTTAAAAAATGCCTATCCCCATGTCTGAAACGATTACCTTATTAGGATCCATGTTCCACATCCGATAGGCACTCGTACAATATAAAAAAAATCTTGGTCACATTTCACGGGCTTGTTACGAGTCATTTTTGACAACTTGAATTGCTCCGTGTTGTATACACGTGGTTGCAATTAATTCTTATCAGTTGTTGAAGCTTTCCACAGGCTTCTGCATCGCTTTTGTCTTTAGACTTTGACAAAACGCAATTTACACTTTTTATAAAGGAAACTACTCACAAGGTTGCTGAAAACTCTTCGACAGCCCACGACCGGTTCCGCCCTTCTTGGGGCTCATCAAGTAGGCGCAGTCCCCGAGTTTCCGTCAACCTTATGATCTACTTGAACCCAAATTGCACTGTTTTCGAGAAATACACTCATTTGCAAATCAATTTGGTTTTCACGAGAGACTCAACTGAATCTCTCGTTTATGATATTCTACAACTGAATGTGCTGTACACAGGCCGCCTCATGATTCAGTTGGCACGATATTCGAGATATCGCAGTATATTTTCATAAAGGAAACTACTCACAAGGTTACTGACTGCACCTACCTGAGGAGCCCCAAGAAGGGCTAAACCGATCGTGGGCTGTCGAAGAGTTTTCAAGAACCTTGTGATTAGCTCCCTTTATGAAGGTGAAATTTCTTATGGATAAGGAAATAGAAGCACCAAGTCAAACTCGGTACATAAACGATGGAAGATGTCGTCCTCATCTTGACAGACTGTCAAACAACGGTCGCACAAAGATCATCAGCTACCTTCGGGCAGAAGAAAAAGATGAACAACGATCGCCGTGAAAGTTAACTCACCCGCTTCCGCACGGCTTCTGGAGCGGACCATTTGATTGGGATTGCGGCATTGTCGTGCAACGACAAACTGTGCATCGTGTCCAAGCTTTCCAACTCGGACGAATAGGCGCAGTGTCGCTCAGAGAACGGGGTGACATGATCCAACGGATCTCGACCGTAAGTCGACGCAGGAGAAGTAACCATTGGGGATGTAGCCCCGGTTGCATAGTGACCGTTTGGATACGGGGTCGCGTGAGTTAGGTCTCGAGCCATGCCGAAATCGGCTACTTTGGCGACGATTCGTGGAGGTCGTCCAGACAGAAGGATGTTCCGAGCAGCAATATCCCGATGAATTATACCACGTTCTTCCAAGTAGGACAAACCACGGCATGCGTCACTGGTGGATAGACAGTGACGTTATTTGATGGTTTGAAACCAGTACGCATAAGGATAAAAAACCGAGCGAGAATCAAACGGAAAAACTCACATGCTGAACTGTAATTTGTCCTTTTCGGTGACCTCATCTCGAGTACGAGAGTGAAGGTAGGTAAGTAGATTACCCTGGGCGTGGTATTCAGTAACGAGATAGATTGCATTATCTTCCGGTTCGTACACGAGACCAACAAAAGAGACCAAATTCGGATGTCGGAGGTTGCTGCATTGATAAGAAAGAGGCGAAAATTGTGGATCGAGCAACGTCACTCATAAAGCCCTTGCGTGTGTGTGTGATAAAGCCAGAGGCATCAATTAATGAGTACGCCATGAAAACAAGTAAAACTATGCACCTATTCACACGAGCGGCATTCACAAGCAACGAGATTGTGCGCTGATTGACACATGATTGGAACGGGAGAAAAGCAGTATGTGCAACGAATGTGTGATCCGAGTTTGGTCACATGGTCACAGTTTACTGCCCACCATCAACACCCACCAGCCCACACACCCACAGGAGAAGACCAGTTTTCTCTCCAAGTAAACACAACAAATAGTTAGCGAGATGTTTTGCTACACAAATTCAGCACACCGCATTCGTTCTAGTTCTGTTGGATGGGCTAGCGTCTGCCTCCACATCACGCTAAGCAGGTAAGGCAGGCCATACCTGTTACATTTCTGCAACAGGTGATTCAACGCTCCAAGGGAACTCGGATTCCTTTGTGACTATCAGCGACCAATATTGTATCAGGTATTAGAGAACATCTAGTCTTGAGCGTCCGCAATTCCAATTCATTTCCCCTCAAAGGTCCTGGTGTCATTAGGAAATCAAGGAACAAAGCAGGCCCTGACGATCACATGAGACTTTCCCTCGCGGGCATGACTGTGTCGCTCAAATTATCCATTCTAACTGTTGATGTCGTGATAACAGCCCATCCTGATGGACGAAACCGCTGATGGTAAGCTTTACACTGAAGAACTGAAACGAAGAGCCAATTTAAGAGCGGAATTGTCAACAAGTCCATCGCTGGTCTCGAGTTGTAGCCAGGGCAACTTGATCGTTCAGGATATCCTGCATACCCATTGTTGTGAGGTGCCAGTGTTTTGTCCCTTTTATGGAATGTCGTGTGGACCGTGACCGGCTATGATTGTATCGATTTAATTTGAAGTATCTGGTTTGTACTCAGTTTGCACAATCTATGGTCAACAGCATTTTGAAGAGTAAGGTGGAGACTTCACCGCTATTTATCTTACTGCGAATGATTCTATCATGGAGTGCAAAACAAAACGGACCCAGTGACGCACACACAATGTCTTGGTCGCAGTGAGCCTTTCTGCTGCTCGTGAGCATCGTATGGGAAAGAAAAGGGACGAACCCATGAACTTCTCAAATCAATCGAACAGTTCACAAAGTCCCCTAGGATGGTTTTCAAGGGTACAGGCCACAACAACACTGATAGTGAGGGGTGTTCACCAACCATGACTAGGTGCGGCTGACAGCAGTCTCTGAGGTTGAACTCTATAACTTGAAAGCAAGAAAGTCACCCAACACTTCGCTTAATCATGGATTTCAACGCCTTCGACTGTCCCTGGGAAGACCACAGTAACTAGATGAAAACTTGGATGAGTGCAAGCTTGCAGTGCAATTCTCACACGGAGATGATATCTAGCACTGGATGACAGCGGAAAAAACGCCGATGGGCTAAAGCAGATACACAAGCACACAAATCAGAGGAAACGATCAGCTGTCAACTGGCTATTCCTACAAAAGAAGGGAGGGAACAGGAGTCAGTAGTCAGTTCGAGGATGAAAACGGGTTGCCGAATTGGGGAGCGATATCAGTAGATTTCAGTCCAGGAAACTGGAGAACAGGATAGAAGGTTGCGGTGTGGTTGACTACAACGAATCCAGTCCCTCCTCAATTTATAACGACATCGGATCTTGATGTATCTCGAAAATCATGCTCTAGCCAACAACAAACAAAAAGCACTCAGCTTCGTCTGTCACGGATCGTGATATACTTTTCGACAAGGCGAGGGTTCCAGCGTGGTGAGTTCTCACGCAGCCAATTTTTCTTAACTAGTGTGGCCAAGACGCATATCGGTCTTGCCCTACGAAATAAAGAATGAAGCGAAAAAGACACTTGTGCTATAGAGATTCAAGTACTGGCATCCGGATTATGTAGGCTAGCGGTTACAAACAGTACGGTAGATGACCTTTGGGAATACAACGTCTGGTACGGGGGACCGGTTGCCTTAAACTGTGCTGAAAGCAGAGGACACACGCCTTCTGGTAAGTGCAGCCTAGACATGATTTATACAGCAGTGCTCTATAAAGATCAACCTCAGAAAACAAACAAAAAACAACAAGGCTTTAGCAGAAAATCCGGACACAAAACGCTTACGTCATCAATGCCGCTTCGTAGGTGACGGCCAGTTTGCACGCGGTCTTTTTACAAATCTTCACCGCGACATCCGTATGCTTATACGTTGCACGTAGGACCTCTGTTGCACAAAAGCAAAGCGGAAAAGGTGTTAGTGTGAGCAGGTTAACGCCGAATCATAAAAAACAACTGAAGACGGTATCGTGTCGTTATCCGGCATCTTCACTACTCCATCTGGCAGTGCATTGATTGCCTTCGGGTACTGTGGCCTGATTACACTAAACGACTCGCAGTGGCACGCTTAGTCCGCAAGGAAACCAGCATCAAAAGATTAGAAAAACACTACAATCAGTAGCCGTGTTGTAGTCCGGACAAATGGGCAGTGCATATGCTTCCAATAGTACACCTACAGTCAGGGAAACTGCGGGCAACCGAAAAAGACTCCACAAGTTCTAAAAATTAAGAAGGCACGTTAAAGTGGTGATAACGAATTAAACGGACGCTCAAAATACGTATAGTGTGGTTACATTAATCTAAGTCAGAGTGGAACTGGAGGTGTTCTGAGTTGCTTTTTGAGAGACTCACCTGGAACCCAGCTGGATCTCTCGTTTGTGATGTTTCCGGGCAACTGAATGTGCTGCACCAGGCCGCCTCATGTTTCAGTCGCTACGATGTTCGAGATATCACGATACATGTATATTCGTAATAAGGTTGTCGACGAATTTTCAGCAACCTTATGAGTAGTACATTACGAAGCCCGTTGTAGTTTACATGCCCCAAAAAGTACGATTTAATTCTGGTTTATCGTTCATTCTTCTAGAAGGACGATTTTCTGGATGGCTCCGGGTTTTAGCAATCGACATTCGGTCTGGCTGAGCACACTTCGTGGAAGTCACACCAAACACGATGGTGTTCTGGCACGTAGAACAGAAAGATGAAGTTTGCCGTAAAGGTGCGCTTTTGGGCGGAGGGGGGTCGGTGGTGCTCACTCGCAGGTTTCAGCAAATGCCTTTGTTTCGTCTAAACTGACTGGTGAGAGATTTGGTCAAATGTCTCCTATTCTCACACAAACTGCAAAACTTGTGCTCCAAGCATAGGACAGCTTACGAAGAACCTCTAAAAAAACGCATCACTATTCGATAAGAAATATAAATGGAAAACTTTCTCAACTCACAAAAATAATCGTTCAGCCGTAGCACCCTTTCAGTGGCTAGCTGCCATTCCACCCAAAGGAAGCACGAGGGCTGGGATACTGCCAGGTTGCCCAAGCCTAGACAGGTGAAGTCGAGAGGCAGTGGTCGAGTTCGAACCACGGACCTTCCGGTCAGTAAATTCGCGCTCTAACCAATTGAGCCATCTCGCCCCTTCTCAACTCATCAGCCATGTGCCATGGGTACACTGGTCCCAGTTGCTACAGTTTTGATTACCGGGAATTGGGAGGGCTTTGGAAATACAGTTAAGCATTGGAGGTGGTGGCATGTTCAGTCGCTTCGGGAGCTTGGTAGCTACGCATTGAAGGCGATAGCTTTGGTCAACAACCGCCATCGCAATCGGAACATGTCTGCCAGCGTGAAGTGAGTCCCGGGGTCCTCATCCATGGAGGGAAGCGAAACGTAAATAGTACACACAGGGCTGTTGCCGTCACGTTCCAAAGCACGCATAAAAGTTACGGACAGGGAAAAAAAACTTCCACCGCCGTGGAGAACCTCGCCAATGACGAACGGGTGATGAGATTAGAATTGCTACACCACAATCCATACTTTCTCTCATTCGCACGAAAACGTTATCATGAAAACAAACTTTCATGAGCTATCTAACACCGATTATTAGTTGGTCCGATTTGGTGGTATGAGTACGCTTTGAGCATGGCTTGTGAAAGGTGGTGGATATCAGTACACACCCTGAATTCATTGTGATCAACTAGCACGAATATCATTGACATTATATAGCTTCAAAATCACCCTCTCGGGGCGAGATGGCTCAAGTGGTTAGAGCGCGAATTTACTGACCGAAAGGTCCGTGGTTCGAACCCGACATCTGCCTCTCGACTTCACCTGTCTAGGCTTGAGCAACCTGGCAGTATCCCAGCCCTCGTGATTCCTTCGGGTGGCATGGCAGCTAGACACCGGGTGTTACAGCTGAACGACTTTCTCCTCTGTTCACCCGCCGGCATGCACAAGGAAAGACGGTGTCCAGACGATTTTAGCCGGACGACGTCTTAGCTCATACACGAAGGCTACCGAAACAGTGAAGAATAGTGTTGTGTTTCTAGTGAGTCAATTACGTGATCATCCTTCGGCGATACTCCAATTTTCACCACGTTCACATCACCCCACAGGACTTAAAACGAGGAATATGACGAGATTCGCTAGGCGCTTTCTAGCATGAAATCTAGCCAACTCTAGATGACGATGGAAGAAGTCAAATAGAACCAAGATCCTTAGACAAGGCAGAGTGCGAGGGTTCAGATCGTGCTGGAAACGCCGCGCTCATTTTTCGTGCAATAAGATTCACAACTGCTGCTGCCGTATACGATACGAAAAAATATTGTACAACCGAAAGCTTTTAAACTAGAATGCAGTTGATCGGTCCTGAGGGTATTCTATGCCGGACAGAGGAGAGCGCCATCACATGAACAGCACAGAATCACTTACCACCAAATTCACCACGTCCAATTTGATCGCCGAGGACCAACTCCTTTCTAGAGATGAGCCAACCACTTTCACGTAGACGTTTCAAACGCTCACGAAGCAGATCAGGGACTGGGTACTTCAATGGGGCGACCAAACCACTGTCCGGAATGGCATAATACTAGTTGGAGAAGAGAGAATCCGGAGGATGAGGACACTGGTAGATAATAATGAGAAACTCCTTTGGAATAAAACATAGGACGGCGATAAGCATCAGGCGTATCCCAGACAGAAAGGAGAATAGAAAGGTCTGACCTTGGGCTTAGTAACACAAAAATACGACCGACATACGATTTACGTAAGAGATGTATTCTTACCTCAATCAAATCCTGAAGATTGGTGAACCAATCATATTCGTCTAAACTGTAATGTGTGGTCACCTCGTTAATGTCACGGGCACGGCTCGTGGCGGGCGCCATGTCGTTTACATGTTTGCAAATGATGTGATAGTGTTGTACGTTGGTTAGGGGTAGGTCGTCCATATTGATCGATACCTGGTAGTTGCTGCCGCCGTTCATTGCGTTCAGGTGAGCATCCAACGACTGGGGTGGCCCAACAACACACAGGGTGAGGTCACCAGTGAAAAGATCGGAGTTGCGAATCATAAAGCTGCCAGGTGGGTGACCTGCGAGGATCTTTTCCGATTCGGCACGAGAGATGCGACCATGGAACCATCTAGATGGGCAGAATGTGATGTGTGATGAAATGGATCAAGGGCTTGTGTCGAATAGCAGCGGCTTGATTCTCACACTTATGAGGTCACATCAAAACCGAAATGATTGGTCTAGGATGTAAGCAAGAGTGTTAGTAACGTAAACCGTTGGATGATGACTGCAGAAGGAATCATATTGTGGTGAGCGAACCCGAATAATTGAGGTTTTCCGACCAGTTGGATAACAGCAACGGAAACTGCGAGGAACATCTTTAAGGTACACTTAAAGTCTTTAATATCGACAGACTATCAAAGTGAAATGAACAGACAAGTTCCAGGAGCCCCTGGGGAGGGCGGTTCGAAACGAAGTCGCCTTTAGCTAGATTCATGTTCTTGTTTACTAGAACAGTCGTAGTTTACAGCTGCTTTATCCTCCTGGCACCCCCAAAAAGAGTCGAAGTGAGAACAGTATTCCTAAGAAGCATTGATGTGATAGACGCCATAGCCTGATGAGTCTCATTGAGCTCAAGTCACTAATAACTATCCATGTAGGACGGTAGGACCGATGAGTTATCGGTCGGACTAGTTACACGTGTTCACCGCAGACTAATGACTATCCATGAGGGTTTTGGAACTATGGGGGTCGTTCTGACGCAGCTAAGGCAAGCCTACAGTATTGACAGGCAAGGAAAACTTACTGGTGGCCATAGGATGAAAACTCGCAAAACAAATTTCTCCTGAGAAACACCAGAGAGGTGTAAAACTAATCGAGGCAATCCAGAAAACACATGAACCAAAGTGACGTAAGTGGGAGCAAAAGCGAAGAGATTCGTACAGAACAGAAAAGTGAACACGTACTAACGCTGAACTTACTGGTAGCAGGTTAGATCAACGGAAGAGGTGCCTGACAATTTGACATAATTGAGTGGGATGAGACCAGTTTCGCCGTTCGCATTTTTGGCATGCGCCCAGTTAGGGTCCTTGGCTATGTTCAGAATCCGTAGCTGTTCATTGCGGTTGAATGAGAGGTCTTCGTGTTTATCCTTCTTAAAACTATAGCTTGCACTCACAATGTCACCCGGCTTGTATCCAACTCCAAGATGGGACATGTGAGGTGCGCATGTAATGGTTAAAAGCAATCAGGAGAGGTTGAAAAGTTGGCAGATAGGTTGAGTGTGGATGGTCGTTATGCCACGCGCTGAAACCAGAGGGGAAACATATCCGTGAATTACTGTCTCAGATACAATTAGGAGAAAATTTGGCGAAGCGAACGGAACTAGTCTGCTCTGTGATAAGTCTACTTACTGGACACCATGGAAGGGACAATATGTTGGGCAGCTTTTCCATACCGCATGGGGGCTAGATGGCTCAGTGGTTAGAGCGCGAATTTACTGACGGGAAGGTCCGTGGTTCGAACCCGACCTCTGCCTCTCGACTTCACCTGTCTAGGCTTGGGCAACTTGGCAGTATCCCAGCCCTCGTGCTCCCTTATGGTGGCATGGCAGCTAGGCACCGAAAGGGTGTTACAGTTGAACAACTTTTTTACCATATCGCATACTTAAAATTTCTCAGAAGCCATGAAAGCAACTAAGTGGAGATTGCAGCAGGCGTCACGACAACATCCGCAAAGCCAGTGACGGTAGAGAACAGTTCAAAACCATGCGAGGCTTTCAAGCTAGTTCAGCGACCCAGAGGATGCTCGTGGTGCTTTAGATAAAGTATTGTACAAGTTGCATTAAAACCTGAAGCCAAGTATGACTAAGAGATGTCACGCGATCTTTTGTAGATTGTACTGTTATGTATGTACGAAATCGGGGGTTCGGTTACACCTGATGGGAGACACATTAATCTACCGCCGTGGTGGAAGAACAGTGCACTGCATGGGGTTTTGTTACAAACTTGTAACCTGATCTAGGAGCAGGAAGCAAACAAATCAAATTGTGCGCAGAATTTCTGGCCCAAGAGGCGGCTGGGCCATCGGAGTGTACGGCTTTTAGGGCCGAACTTTTCCAGCCCGTCCTACCTCGAAAGAAGGCAGCATCGCTGTGAATATGTACATGCTGGTCACCTGGGAGGAACATCTGACCATCTTTACACTTCTTCCACAGAGGACAGTACGAATTTCCCCGCAGACCACCTCGTAGCACGACTACTCGTAGTAAGTGGCATCGCTGCTTTTGGTGTGACTGTTCCCCCTTTGGCCTTCCTGGCATAGTTGCACCTTGTGGGACGAAATTCCAGCCAGTATAGCCCGCGGGGTCATTGCAATGCCCAAGCCCGACCACCACACCAAGTTGGTAGCTTTAGGTCGAGAAACAATGTACCAAGGGTAAGATGGTTCCAGCTGCTAGTTTCGGTCACCAGAAAACGAGAGAGAGTGGGAGATGAAATATAGTGGAAAAAAGAAAACCGTTCAGCTTTAACACCCTTTCGGTGCCTAGCTGCTATGCCACCTGAAGGAAGTACGAGGGCCGGGATACTGCCAAGTTGCCTAAACCTAGACAGGAGATGTAGGCGAGCACTGAAGGCAACGGCATGACGACTTGGTTCTGGAAACTGGGCAGCTACACGTTGGAGGCGATGGCTCTGATGCACTGAGCCATGTTTACCAGTGTCAGTGACCACTGATGACCTGCGTTCCTTGGTCCCCGTACAGAGAGGCGACAGTTGTCGACCCGACTAAGTTTACTGATTGGCGCATTAAATAGCAACAATAATCATACCTACCACCATCTGAAGGTTGCCACTTTCTGTACCTAGGAATGGTGGCGGTGCCACATTCAGTAGACACTTCTTCAGAGGTCCACATGTCTCCCAATATGATTGTCACATGAGTAATCAGCGTCCGGCCACCAGTATCGTTCACGGTCGCAGCTCTTCGGCCGAAAACTCTCATACACACCGCATTTCCTCCCACCAAACAGTCCGCTGCAGTCAATTCATATGCCATTCACATAGCCAATTTTCTGTGTCTGAACCCGTACCCAGCAAAACAAACCAAAATAAACCTGCGTGCTCTGTCCCCAAAATACGCAGAAAAGACTCCATTCTGATCATGTACCTCAAGTCGTTCAGGACGATCTCAGACGTTTCACATTTCGTTTTTCGAGTATATGGTGATTCCCACGCCATTCGTGTTACCTACGGTGTGAAAGTTGCACTCAGTCCCAAGGCTGAAGGCGCTCCACTGAAATGGACTCAGTAAACGGAAAAAACACGTTAAACGACGAAGCAGTTCGCCGTAAGTAGAAACGGCGACAACAAAGTTATCCAAATAGGTGTCAACTCATCCTGAGCCGGTTAAAATGTCTATTAGTTTCATGAATGTCTGGTGCTCGGTTAAGTTGCAATAAAAAGCGCGCGTTGAGTGTCAACAGCCCCTCGGAATCACTTTCGACTTCTATTTGAAGGTAAGTGCCAAAAGGCTTCACAAAACATGGTCCAATAGAGAGTTTCGTAAACAAACCTGTTAACAGATAACAGATATGTAAACTATGTACAATATTAAGGCTAATGGAATAGACATAATTATACCCCTTTTAGTCAATCAATCAATCACTTCAGCTGCTGTAAACCGGGTAACAAAGTCAAATTGGTTCCAGCTGCTACAGTTTCGATCATTGAAATAGGGGAGAGTGTGGGACATACAACCAGGCCTTGGCTAGTTCGGGAACTGGGGAGATACGTATTGAACACCACAGCGTTGATGCATGAGCGCCATTGATTGCGCGATTGGTACCCCTTTCGCCTTTCTAACAAGAAGCTGTGAATGGTGAATATTCGGTAAGCTTGATGATTGTTGAAGATGCTCATGGTCACTAGAGCAACATAGGATGCAAGAAGCATTGGTTTAAAAACCTTTTTGAAGTACTAATGCAACTTCAAACTGGTCTTCAGTCCGGTGCAACATTCAAAATCATTTTGAAAGATGGCTAAATTGTCAAAAGTTTGTCTGTGAATCGCTTCACGACGCAAGTGACAGAAGAGTTGACCATAATCTATTGTGCACAGATTCCAAAGGAATACAGAGATCGAAGCAAAGCCAATTAAGTTCAATCGACGAGGTGAGATGCACTAGAATATTGGGTACTATCGGAGGACAAACTGCGTAATGACTCTCCAGTTAGTTGTACGGTACTACCTAATGCAAGTGAACCTGGTGAGTGGTCATACGCACAAAAGGCCTTTCAATCAAATCCTACGTGAAATATGTGATCCATGTTATCTTCGAAGCTGTGTCGAGGTGAAAACGGACTGGGACACAGTCTTCTGGAATCGAATAAAAATTCCGATCACCACTGTGTACGGAGGCTTTTGAGGAACCCGCAGTGTACTACCACACGCACAGAAGTCTGACGATACAGAGAATAAACCATCTTCACGAAATTCCGGGACACTCCTTGTTGTAAAGGACAACAGACCGATTAACTGAGCCGAGTCCCCCTTGGAAATCTAGGGGTACTATGGCTGTGGCCATGTACACGTGTACTGTTGTGAAGATTTTGTCAACACAACCCCTCCCCACCATGTCGGAGTCCTGCTTGCTGCTCTTAAACGGGTGCTTCACGAGTCACCATAAAGCGAAGTGACACAGAATTTCGTTACGACGTGAGCCAAGTCGATGCCGTGATTACTGCACTTAATGTGCACCTTTTTTGGAAATGCGCACAATCGCCGATTGTCCCCAGTTATTTGAGATCACCTCCTTTTCCAAGATGCAGGCAAACAGATTAGGCAAGGGCTGACTAAGAACATCAGCCCCATCTATAGACAATGCGAACGAGAGGTCATTCAGGTCAGGAGCCCGGTGAAGTTTGAGAGAACATGTACACCTCATGAACCTTTGAGGCCGTAGAAGGCTCGAGGTGCACCCTTCAAGGTTCTACTGCAGTTCCAGGCTCCGAGTGAGTGGTAGAAGGTGGACAAAAAAATTGTTTACCAAGTGACCAGTTCATCGCTTGTGTCGTTCTTCTTTACTGAAGATGGTCGCGCAAATTTGATCCCTGATGTTTTCGTTCACCAGTGGTTTACAGAGGATCGTCGCGCGGATCAACCAAAATAAGCTTCCGGCATCATCAGCGTTCTGGGGGTCTTCCATTTCTAACCATCCATGTCCACCAAGCCCCACAGTCAGCGAGAACACTGTGCTTCATTTGGCGTCTAACAGTTCGTCGAACTGGATTGTTCGAGACCAGTGTGGAAATTTGTTCAACACTAAAGCAATGTCACTACTATGTCTGATATCCAGTGCCAGTGTGCACCTGGTACTGCCATGCCATATGGAAAACTCCCCGCAGTGCGTGAAGATGTGGTGATCTTGTCCCAGTACGGATTGACATCAAACAGTGCAGCAGTCGAGAGCGGGCACAGAAGACGATTCTGATAAAATGGTTTCACTTCGGGACCTATCAGCCTCAACAACGAGGCTGCTTGTCCGACTTTTATGTGGTTCTGGAAAGCGAGCACAGAAGGACTCCTGAGGAGTGCATGATTAGGATTCCCAAGTGCTCCAAAATGAGCGGCAATCAGTTGTTGATCCACGACATCGGCAACTGATGGTGATGTGATCAACTGGGGTTCGTGGCTGGCGAATTGTTGAACACTACGTGGTCAGACGACTTCGGAGGTCATCATTGCATAAAAGTAGTCAGCCGTCAGCATATAGCTGAATCGGTCGTTCGCCATTATCCGTACATATCGAGCCCAATCCACCCAATTGTGTTTCAGATGCGCTAAGTCTGTCCACTTTTGTATTCAGATTTTCAACAACAACATATGAGCCTTTATCGCATCGTAACAGAGCATTTAAGGTGTAATGAGACCCGTCTTTGATGGTGTCAGAGCTATAGTCGGTTTGGGTCTGAACAGACCCGATAAACAGACAACGATGATATTCCCGACTGTGAGACTCCTTTACGGACGTCGCCAGGTAAACCGCACACGGGCGACAAGTCCAGCAAAGATCCATCTACCCGTTGACTTGAAAAGATACCAACCACATCTTGCCATAGCGGCATCTGGATGACCACAAATGAGCAGGTAGTTAATTCAATTACAGTTTTCATCTTTACTTTTTGCTCCTGCTAGACAGCACACATCAATGCCAAGCGAGTCCAGAGTGCGAGCAAGAGAGATTTGTCATCCTGCTTGCTTCAGAGTGCGGATACTAAAAGCTGCCAGACAGACAAGCTTAAAGATTGGTTTCAAAAT